TAGGGTATTTTATTATTTATTTATTTAACTTGTTATCAATGTTTCTTTTTATGCACGTGTGTACAGTGTCTTCTGTATGTATAGTGGAAAAAGAAAATAAAGGAAATCCTTATTTTTATTTATGCTTTCTTAATCTTATGCTTTTCATTCCTTTCTCTATCCTTCTCCTTTAACCTTTGGTGTATAGGTTAACTTAAACTGTACTTTATTGTACTCTAAAATTGTGTGTTTAATAAACTATTGGTTGTTTTTCAATACACAATCAGCTATAGTTATTTGTTGCAAGCGTGTACACATGACATACGCTGTGAATCCAAGTTACGGGGGAATCTGGGTTTAGTGAACCCTACTTACAAACAAATAATTTTTAGCATTTTTGACCATTTTTGACCACCCTGTTTGTTTTGGTTAGGAAGTCCTGTTATATCATCATTTTTTTCACTTGTATGAGTTTAAAGAGCTTTTCGTTGTAATTGTGATTCAATAACACATCCCTTGTACATATTTGCATGTACGGGTACAGTGTAGTTCCTACTCTTAGTTCTAATTGACTCTTTTCCCTCTTCCTTTTCTTTTACACACACCCACACACCACACACATACAACTTTGCATGCAAATGTACATATACATGTACATACATACAGAAACTAGTGGCTTATGGTCTATTAAAAGGGAACAGTGTTGATGCAGATAACAGTGATAAGCAGCTAATAGATAGGATCATTGATACAGTCTGTGGCTGCTTTGTAGGAGTGCATACAGACGAGGGAGTCCAGCTACAGATAATAAAGGTTAGTGAACATGTAATTCCAAGAGATTGTGAGGATAAAGAGTATATGATTAGTATAAAATGATTGTGCTATTTTGTCCCATTTGTGGGTAGTATATAGGGTAAGTACAGAATTTTTGTGGTACACATAATTTATATGTACATGTACATGTACATCTATAATTGGTACATGTGTACTATGCTATTTTTACTATGTAATTCCTTAGAATTATTTTAGACAGAGACCACAGAGAATTAGCTCTGAGAAAGTTCCTATTACATTTTCTAAATCTACATACATGTACATCTTTTTATGCTGTGTAGAATTTTAAAAGTTGGGCCAAAGTCCATGTACTATAATAGAATAGTACAGTGTCACGGGCGAAATTTTTCCAGGGGAGAAAATTCTTCATTTTTATTTTGTTTTTTAATCCATATTTATGTACTTGTGCTGTGTAGAAAGTTTGAACTGATTCTGATCAAGTTTGGATTTTATACGAATTTTTTAAGTTACTTAAAAATTGGGCCAAAGTCCCTGTACTATAGTACAGGGATTTTGGCCAAGTTTTGCCAAAAATAAAAAAGTGAGAATTTTTAATTTTTATAATGTAATCTGATACATATACATGTACTTGTGCTGTGTAGAAAGTTTGAACTGATTTCGATCAAGTTTGGATTCTTTACGAATTTTTTAAGTTGCTTAAAAATTGGGTCAAAGTCCCTGTACTATATAGTACATGGTATTTCTTCAAAAATAATGATTATATCAAAAATTTTTTATTTATGTTACATATTTTGTTTGCAGGCTCTGTTAACAATACTAACATCAAAGGAGGTATCTGTTCACGGCGGTACTGTACTTCAAAGTGTTCGGTGTTGTTACAATATCTATCTCGCTAGTCGTAATCCAATCAACCAGACGACTGCTAAAGCTAGTCTAACGCAAATCATCAGTACCCTGTTTCAGAACCTGGAAAACGAACAAGTAAGTGACTAATAAAATACAATTTTACAATTATAGTTTTTTAGTTATTATTTTTAAATATTTTAATGATTTGAAAATATTTGCATTATGCTGGAACTCCTGGTCATTCATGTGAATGTACATTCATGTAAATGTACATGTACATGTACTTATAGTATAGTGTGTGGGTGCATCAAAGGCACTGCCCGTACTGTATATCTCATACAGCACGCTTCCGGTTCACACAGCATAGTTTGTGGTTTCCTGTTATACATAAACTGCGACCACCCCTAACTAAGAGCAGCACGAGGGTAGAAGACTCCATGAGCAGATAGCCCAGTCTCTTTTGGTTCCCTTTAGGCTATTCTTCACTTGGCCTAGGGCTGGTGCCTTTGATGCCCCCACGCACTATGACCATAAACTAGTAAAAGCACAGTCCCCCTGTGCTGTACTGGAAATACAGCACTCGAGGTGTGGTCTTAAAAGCTATACAGCACTCGGCTTTGCCTCATGGTGTATATGCATGGCTTTCTCAACCACACCTCAAGTGCTGTATTTCCCGTACAGCACGGGGGAACTGTGCTTTAACTAATACATACATTTACATTCATGTAATGTACAGTACATCTAACATTTACATTCATGTAATGTACAGTACATCTAACATTTCCATTCATGTAATGTACAGTACATCTAACATTTACATTCATGTAATGTACAGTACATCTAACATTTACATTCATGTAATGTACAGTACATCTAACATTTACATTCATGTAATGTACAGTACATCTAACATTTACATTCATGTAATGTACAGTACATCTAACATTTACATTCATGTAATGTACAGTACATCTAACATTTCCATTCATGTAATGTACAGTACATCTAACATTTACATTCATGTAATGTACAGTACATCTAATATTTCCATTCATGTAATGTACAGTACATCTAACATTTACATTCATGTAATGTACAGTACATCTAACATTTCCATTCATGTAATGTACAGTACATCTAACATTTCCATTCATGTAATGTACAGTACATCTAACATTTCCATTCATGTAATGTACAGTACATCTAACATTTCCATTCATGTAATGTACAGTACATCTAACATTTACTTTCATGTAATGTACAGTACATCTAACATTTACATTCATGTAATGTACAGTACATCTAACATTTACATTCATGTAATGTACAGTACATCTAACATTTACATTCATGTAATGTACAGTACATCTAACATTTCCATTCATGTAATGTACAGTACATCTAACATTTCCATTCATGTAATGTACAGTACATCTAACATTTCCATTCATGTAATGTACAGTACATCTAATATTTCCATTCATGTAATGTACAGTACATCATTCCATGTACATGTACATGTACATGACATGTGTACATGTACACTTGTAATGAAGTGTAAATTGACCTTATAAGGACTTTATTAACTGCATGTTTTATTATATTAATTGCCATAATTAATATTAACTGATGCATTTATATTGCATGTAATTTTGACTAATTAATTAATTTTTTACATTTTTCATTTTTAGTCTCTTCAGTCAATGGCTCGTGACCGCATGGCCTCCTCCTACCCAACCCCACCCCCAAGCCGCTCGGACAACCAATCAGATATCTCCTTTCAGTCACATGACCAGCACTCCTCCGATATGGGAGACGGAGAGGGCGAGGTGGGGAGGGTCGCTAGATCACCGGAAGATGACGAGTTGGTCTCCGTCGCAGCTAAACTGGTTGCTCAAGTCCTGGCAAAGGTCATTGTGGAGGAGTCGCTTCGTTTGCCGTCATATGACTCCGAAATAACTGACAGAACTAATGTACGTGTGTGTGTACATGTACATGTATAAGGATTAAGGGATTAGGTTATACAGTGCATGTACAGTGTAGCCTCTATATAATGGACACTTGGGGTCAAGGAAGTGTCTCTGTTATACAGAGGTGTCCTTTATGTGGAGGTTATTTTATACAGTAAGGAATGTAATTGGTACACTAGGTGCTGTCCGTTGAATGGAAGTGTACGCTATAGAGAGTGTCCATTAAGAGAGGCTATACTGTACATGTACACACACCTTTTAAATGTATATTGTACTATGCATGTATATGTACATGTAAGTACAAGTACATGTACATGTACATACAATGTATCTCTGGCATATTATAACTTTTATATTATACATGTATTCAGAGTTCTGCCTAGAATAAAATAGAGGTGATTGTAGACTAATGTTGTTCCTTTTAAGCTTATGTACACCATACTAGTAGACTACAATATCATGCTTTATGTATGGTTATTAGTATTAATTGGATGGTTGGAAGTGATGAACTGGTTGGTTCATTTGTTGAGGTGGTTGCCCGACCACCCCCGACCACCATAGGCAGAACTATGTGTATATTATTATTATTAATGTTTTCTATAGTCTCCATTGGCTAGTTCAGTGAGTATTGCTATTAATGGTGCTGCTAATGATGAGACAGAGTCACTTGGTTCTACTAATGTATCCGAACTGAGAGACCCTTCGCCACAGCCATTACAGGTCAGCCATGCATCATCAAATGTCATGTAGAAAGTTTGAGCTGATTCTCATTAAATTTTTATTTATGAACATTTTAAAGCACAGTATACCATGTACATGTACCTTTAAATTTTGACCCATTTTTAAAAAATTGCATGGGTTCAAATTTTTTTACAAAGTTTATTTGATACACATAATTACCACATTAGTCTACATGTGCATGTATGCTTGTAGAATTTTTGAGCTTATTCTTTTCTCTCTTTATTTAGGGATCTAAGGATAATTTACAGTTTCGACATGTCCTCCAGAAGGATTGCTTCCTAGTCTTTAGGACACTTTGTAAATTATCAATGAAACCAATCAGTGACATACATGACCAGAGGTTAACAACAAGCATTAATCTTGTTGTTATTATTGTTGTTGTTGTTGTTGTTGTTGTTGTTGTTGTTGTTGTTATTTTTCCTTATTTCTTTCTCTCTCTGTCACTCTCTCCTTCTCTCTTTCTAACTTAACCTATACTCTAAAATAAAAATTATTATTATTATTATTATTATTATTATTATTATTATTATTATTTTAGGTCTCATGAATTGCGCTCAAAGCTCGTAAGTCTTGAGCTCTTACACTCTATCCTAGAGAACTCTGGCCCGGTATTTCGTACCGACGAGGTTTTTGTGGGCGCCATAAAGCACCACCTCTGTGTAGCGCTGTCTAAAAACGGCGTCTCTAGTGTACCTGAGGTTTTCGAGCTCTCCCTCTCTATCTTCCTCGCTCTTTTCTCCTCTTTCAAAGCTCACCTTAAAATGCAAATAGAAGTGAGATCGTATACTTGTGTTTGGTCGTTTATCATTAATTTTGTTTCAGGTATTTTTTAAAGAGATTTTTTTAAACATTTTGGAGACCTCGACTAGCTCATTCCGTCACAAGTGGCTAGTGTTACAAGCATTGACAAGAATCAGCAGTGGTAAGCATTACTAATGCATAACACTGATTTCTGATATTGATATTAACACTGATCCCTGGTACTGATATTAATACTGATTTTGATATTGATATTAGCACCGATTCCTGGTATTGATATCAACACTGATTCCTGGTACTGATATTAACACTGATTTTTGATACTGATATTAACACTGATTTCTGATATTGATTAACAATGATTTAATGCTACACCAGCCATATTACTTACATATTTTCATTATCTCTCCCCCAGATTCACAGAGTGTAGTGGACATATTTCTTAATTACGACTGTGATCTCTCCTTATCTAATATTTATGGCCGTTTAGTGAATGATTTGAGTAGAATAGGCCAGGGCAGACAAGCAGTTGAGCTGGGAGCTACTCCACAACAGGAAAGAAGCATCAGAGCGAAAGTGAGGAGAAGAATACCAAGAAATACCTTCAATAATAATAATAATAATAATAATAATAATATCAAATCTTCATACTTCTTTATTTATAATTATTCCAGGGTTTGGAGTGCCTGATTAGCATATTAAAGTGTCTCGTGGAATGGAGCAGAGAACTTTACGTTGACCCAGCAACCACTGGACTCAATGCTACGTCCCTGGTATCAGGTATGGAATTATGGGAATGGAATCATGAGAATTGAATTATGAGAATGGAATCACGAGAATAGAATTATGAGAATGGAATATGATATGTCCCTCCTTCCTCTAGGTGAAGGTAGCAGGGTAAGTCTGACTGCTTCGACTCAAAGACCGTCGAACCTTTTAAGTGATCAAAAGGTCCCTGCTAAAGGAGGAGCTGGCATTGAAATGACAGACGGGGGAGAAGGAGGAGGAGGGGGAGGAGGTATTCTTGCTAGTGACATACCCCAGCAGTTTGAGACACTGAAGCTGAGGAAAGAGACGATGGAGAAAGGAACAAAACTGTACGCGTGTACATGTGCATGTGTAGTACATGTACTAGCTGCTTTATTTTGGCAATTTTGCTATAAAATACACTTTCATGGTTTTAATTTGGTGATTTTTTGTGTACTTATGCATTAGCAATGACAGACATTAATCATTGCATGGTAGATTTAATATCTGCTATTTTGCCAATTGCCAAAATAAAACTGAAAGGACTAGTATACAGTACATGGTCTCAGGCCAAATTTTGCTGAAATTAAAAGGAGAGAATTTCCCATTTTTATAATTTTTCTGATGCATATACATGTACTTATGTTGTGTAGAAAGTTTGAGCTGATTCCGATTAAAATTGGATTTTTTACAAATTTTTAAAGTTGCTCCAAAAATCGGGCCAATGTCCCTGTACTATAGCTCTATACTGTCAAGTCTGCTTGTACAAATTATTATCTTTTTTAGTGACTGAATCAAAAATTTAGTGTTCATCATCTGTTCTAATTTTTCTAGATTTACCGATAAGCCGAAAAAAGGTATCAAATTCCTCCAAGAGAAAGGTCTTCTTGGTCAGTCACCAGAGGATGTGGCTCAGTTTCTTTTCTCCGACGATCGTTTGGATAAGGTGAGCCCGATTGTGATTATTAACCTAATTTTGAGATTATTGCAGACGGCTGTTGGTGATTACATGGGGGAAATTGATGAGTAAGTTATTATTACTATAATTATTATGTGGGGGATACCTCTCTCTCTCTCTTTCTGTTTCTATTTTTGTGTGGTCTTCCCTCCCTCCCTCTCTCTCTCTCTTCCTTCTCTCTCTCTCTCTCTCTCTCTCTCTCTCTCTCTCTCTCTCTCTCTCTCTCTCTCTCTCCCTCTCCCTCTCTCTCCTACAGTTGTAATGTACATGTACTAATGTAAAATTATTTTTCTCTCTTCTTTTTATTCTCTTTTTTGTTTCTTTAGTTTCAATAAAAATGTCATGTATGCTTTTGTCGACTGCTTTGACTTCAATGGACTCGACTTTGTCGCTGCCCTTAGAATTCTCCTAGCCTCTTTCCGTCTCCCTGGAGAGTCTCAGAAGATTGATCGGATTATGGAGAAATTTGCCGGAAGATACTGTGAAACAAATCCAAGGCAAGACAGACTTTATAAAGCACCTGTACTTATATATTCCCCCTCTCTCTCTTCCTCTCCCCCCCTCTCTCTCTCTCTCTCTCTCTACAGTCTTGATATATTTGCAAGTGCTGACACAGCATACGTCTTAGCATTCTCAATCATCATGCTTGCGACCGACCTTCACAGTTCACAGGTCAGTAAATCCCCTGATACTATTGGATACCTTTGTATACCTTTGGATATCAT